CCTGGGTAAGGGAGTGCAGGACAGCAAAAGCAAGAAGCTGATAAAAGTACATGATTTTGATTTGGTGCCAGTGCCCTTTTTATCCTGGTTGTGGTTGTTGTGCATAAAAATGAGGATGGCTGATTTGAGACTGGATCCCTTGGATTGGACCTAAATACAGGGCAAGATTCTTACAGCTCAGCTGTGAGTTAGGTGTGTGCTCAGATGTGTGAGGAGTAGATATCTTGTGTTTCTGTCAGCAAGGACTTGCCCTTCCTTCTGATGAAGAGTGAATGTTCCTTAATATGTTTTTCTTTAATAGATATTTGGAAGAAACTTCGTTCTGTTTGTTATCCTTGGAACCTTGGAGGAAATGCAGAGCAAACCTGTGGTGTTCTTCATATTTTATTTCTGGAGTATCATTGAGCTGTTCAGGTTGGTGGGATTTTCCTCCTATCAAGTGTGCACAGAACAGAGTGGTTGTTCCCAAGAAAGAAGATTTTGATCTTTGTATTTTTTAAAAGAGTTGGCCCCAGAGAGTCCTTGAGTCATGGACTGTTCACAGCCTTCCTTCATCTGCCAAAAGCTGAGGCAGGGCTGGAGTCTGAAAGTGATACTGCCCTGTTGTTTATTTCTTTATTTCTTTGATGCTTTGAATTTCCATTGTTAAACGAAGCCTTTATCTTTGAACCAAAGTAATTTTGAAGGGTTTATTAGGCAGCCAGGCAGTTGCCTTCATGCCTGTGTTCAGAATGGCCTGAGCTCTGTAAACTGCCCAATAACTGCGTGTCCATCATCATCCACAGGGACAATGCCTTGAATATTCTGGTGTCATTTGGGAATTGTGTTGAGCACACAGTGTAGATACACAAGACCAATTCTAGTAGTAGTTTCCATTTTAAAGTGTTTATTTCTCCTCACACTGTAGGTATCCCTATTACATGCTTTCCTGCATTGGAATTGAATGGAAACCACTCACCTGGCTCCGTTACACTGCCTGGATCCCTCTCTACCCCTTAGGGGGCTTGGCAGAAGGTATCTCCTTAAAACAGTTTACTAAATAATGAATTCAAGGCTGGGAAAATAGCTCAATTTCTTTTTTTGGCAGCTGGACTTAAAATAGTAAAATAGAGCAAGAGATAAATAGATTTCCTTTGAGGTGAACCAAATATAAGCATTTTGTCTTTCATACTGAATCAGGTATTATTTTTAATTTGATGTAAAGTCTTCCTTTTGGAGGAAAGACTCTTTCTGGAGGGGGAAGTAAAGGCAATGATGGGTTGCAAGAACAAATGGAATAAGAACAAGCTGCACAGGAGGCCAGTGCTCACTTCCCTCTGCTGAACCAAAGCTTTGTCTGCTGGGCCTGACTTGCTCAGCCTGGCCTGGGTTCACACCAGCTCCCAGGTCTTGATATTTCTTGTAAATGACTGCAGAGGACAGGCAGGGGCTTATTCCTGTGTTGCAAACCCGTGTCTGTGAGCCAGGAGGAGCTTTGGGCATTGCCCAACACCAAGCAGGGGGAGGAGTGTGCCTGTTTCATTGCTGGGGGTATTTGTGGATGGCAAATCCTGCTGGCACAGGCCCTGGGGCTGCAGCTGTGCCTGAGAACAGAGTCTCACCAGGAAGGTTCCCTGCTGCACCCCCTCAGGCAGGTGCTTCCCACCTTCCTGCATGTTCAACACCTTCAAAATTGCTGTCATTAATCAGCACTGGCAAATTAGAAGGGACTATGCTGAAATAGTTGGTGTGGGCTGGGTAATTATACATTTTCTCTGTACTTGGTAATGATGGTGGCCTTCTGCTTTCAGCTGTCTGTATTGTTCAATCCATTCCAATCTTCAGTGAAACAGGGAAATTTAGCCTGGGATTGCCAAATCCACTGAATGTCACAATCCAGTTTCCATTTGTGCTTCAAATATATCTTATAGCCTTGTTTTTAGGTAAGTATTTAATTCTATTTCTCAATATTGAAATAAAAAGTTTCCCCTGAATAACTTGATTTTTCAAAGAAAATGAAATTCCTGCATCTTGGGGACCATGGCAACACAAAATTGCTTGAGGTTAAGTGTTATCCTTGTGGATTGTTCATGTAAATTTGTCAGTGATTGAGGGGAACACACCCCTAATGAGAAAAAGGTGATCTTGGTAACAAATTAGCAGCATAAACTTGGGTTAAAGGAATAATTTTTACATGCATTTATAACCATAGTATACTTAGTTTCACCTTTTAGGGGGTATTTGAGCTTTAGAATGATGTAGTGGCAATCTAAACATAATTTCAAATTAAAGTAATTTAGTTAAATGTTGCAGTATAATCACAAATGCAACATGAAATCATGTTTTCCCAGGAAACAATATAGAACTCTCTTAAAATAGTAATTTAAAGAAGAAAACCTGCTTGAGACATAGTTGGTTTCTGGTGTTAGTTTGTAAACACAATTTAAATTCCTGGTACCCACACCCACGCTGGGTATCCACAACTCACCACAATCTAACCCAGAATTTTAAACTGAACTTTCACTAGATTTCTCCTGCTCACAGACATTGCTTAAAGCCACCCTTCAACTGAGTTTCACTCTGAAATACATGGTTCATGCTCCTTAGCTCTGCACAGCTGGTGTCACAATTTCTTGTTAAAGGTGACAAACAAACCTTCTAAGCTGCTCTTTACCAAACAACCTGTGCAGCAACTCCTGCCTCAGCCAGCCAGACAACACTTGCATTAGCTTTCACTGCTACACACACCCCTAAATAATTTATTTTGTTGTGTGGTGGGTGGGTTAGTTGGGTTCTGTTATTTTTCCTTTAGATCTGGTACAGCCATTTAGCATAAAAAGACGCAGTGATGTCCTACCTAAACACTTCATTCTTTTCCAGGGGTATTTGTAAACTACCGTTACCTCTACAAGCAAAGGAAACAGCACCTTGGACCAAAGAAGAGAAAGATGAAGTGAAGCAGGACTGCAATGATTTCTTATCTCACTTGGGGGACAAGATAAGCCTCTAATTCTTACGGTTTTACCCACTGTAATGCAAGAATTTTGTAAAATGAAATGACCACGCTAGATTTCATGATTTCATAGTGAATTCAGGTAACATTCCCTTATATTGGATTTTGTTCCCTTTCCATCATCTATGCATGGCATTTACCATTGAACATTTAAATGTGTATCCTGTCAACCAGCATATTAGAAAGAAATCCTATTATCTGCATATGATATGCTTATAATCAGTGGAGCAGCACTAACTAGAAATAGTGTTTATCTTTTAATTGGAGATTTGCTCTTTCAATATTGCATGCAGATAGGGCTTCTGATGTGGGATATGCTCTTTGCTGGCCTGTGCTGTTCCTGGGAGGCATCCTGATGGCAGGTGGAGGCACAGTCTGAGGCCACTGTGCAGTGTTTGGGTGTTTATCAGCCACTGGGATAAACGTGCTCAGTACACAACCCCCCTTTTCTTCTGCAGCATTACTGATGGTACAGAATTAAAACTGGAAGTAGTTAATGCCAATTTAAATGCTACAACTTAGTCTGTTTCTAGTTAAGCCTTGACAGAATAGGAGCTCTGTGTGGACCATAGCAATGTGTATTCCTGTAGCAACACATCCTGTCCAGTCATTAGGGAAAGGAAGCTGCCACTGAGGGCAGAAATGCTTCCTGGTTGGTAGAGCAAGCACTGAAATGTAACAAAACAAGGGAACATAGGTACCAGCATTCCCCTGGCTTGTGAACCCCAACAGAACTCCATCCAACCCATGCAAAGGGAGAATGTGGAATTCTCATGGGACATGGAGCTCCTCTGATCCATCCTGCCAGGGCTGTGTCTCCTGTATTTACAGCCTTCAGCAGGGCAGCAAAGTCACTCTTCTACCTGCATTTAGGGCTGCAGCAGAGAAGTTGGTGTGTGTGGTTGACTGGCTCCTGGGGGGATGGAACAGGGGGGTCAAATAAACTGTATTATTTAGATAGCACATATCAAATCTTAGTAAGGGAGGTCCCACGCAGGTTTGAAGGACCCTTTTCTCTTTGCTTGCTTTAACCACCACCACCAAAGAGAAGCTCCCCCTACATTTCAGATCATCTGCTGTCTCACCTGGAAACCTCTGGTTCAGCTGACTTTATTTCAGCATGTCCTTCTTCACACTGAGCCTCCTGTAGCTGATCCCAGATTCCTCTGGCCTCCTTAATCCAGCTTAGAAAGGTACAGCAAGTTTAGTTCAAACTGCACTGTGGTTATGAACAGGTTGTTTCCCAACTGCCACTGCCGCAGGCACTGCAGAGCAATGCCAGCAATCCAGGACAGACACAAGCTGAGATTAGCTTAGTGCCATGTTACTATTTATCTTTTCCTATTGTAAAACAATATGAACCCTCCAGAAAATTATTTTATATATATTAAAAGTAACAAACAGCAGAAGGTTTGTGATATGGACCCAGTGCTTGTTACTGTAAATGAAATAGTGTTATGAGGAGACTAACATAGAAGCAGTACAAGCTCCACGCTGCATTTCACAAATTGTGTTCTGTCAACAAGAGGCGTGATACAACTTCTCTTTGGGAGAAGCACAGCCTACTTTACTCAGGAGAGTTGAGCGCTATTTACACAATATTTCACTTAGCACACACTGTACCTATGTTTGAAGTATGTGAAAGGGTTGAATTAGCTGAGTAACAGAACAGCAAGGATCACTTTCATACTTTGATTTCTTCTCTGGGCATTTAAACCTCTGTTATGAAATCCGTATGTATTCATCAGTGAAACTGTGGTACCTAGTGCAAGCTGTCATGGATCTTACACTACTGAATTTTAGTCCTTCAGAAAGAATGTGTTTCTATTAATAAAGATTTACAACCAAATTTTGTTTTAGTTCAGTTGTTTGTTCTTTCAAATTATACAACTTCCTGAGAAGTTGTATAATTTGATATTTAACTTGAGATAAACAGCTGGGACCTGACCCTTCACCAAGTCAGTCTTTTGGGCCACACAGCCTGCTATGAAAATGGAACAAATCCAACTTAAATTTTCATGAAGAATTACTCTTTATTTGTATTATGCAAATAAAAAAAACATATATCCCGAGATCAAGTTACTTTCAGAAGCATAAGCACTGCAATGCAAGTGATAATGCTTAGTACAAACAGTCTGTCAAGTTGGGCATAAAGTCAGGGCCAACACCCCAAAATCAGTTTTGTATCTGATCCTGCAGGGTGCTTTTCACACCTTTCTTTGGACTAATCAAATTGATGTTTAAAGTGTAGTAGCTGCCTTTTAGGATACTTTCACCAGCAAGTTCGATTGTGTAACTGCATTTTGGGGAGGCCAAAATCCAAGAGCTGCCAATGGCATTTTCTTCTCCTCACATGTACTAAATAACTTCTACCTATCATCCAACACCACCACTGGGTTTGGGACACTTTCCACAGTTTCCAGGTCTGACTAACAGCCACCACAAACGAGCTACGTTTGTTTAGAGAGCACTGATGCAAAACTTCCCCGTTTGGATAGGAAGCTCTTCAAACAACAATTGAACAGGCCAGAAGAAAATCTGAACTGCTTGAGTGTTAATCTAGAGAAGCTCCCAAAATGGAGACTTCACATTCTCTCAGTGCTGCTACCGGAAAAGTCAGTCTGCAGAGGAGCAATGTTGTGATCATAGGCAGCGTATTCTGAGGCCCCAGTACTTGCCACCTTGAGCTGCTGGGCCGCGTGTGTGAGCTGGAAGGCGGCATCGGGGTGGGCGGTGTCGGGCAGCAGCGTGCACTCCCGCTCCAGCATGTCTGCCACGCCCTTCAGCAGCTCCAGGAAGCCGAAGGCCAGAGCTGCCTTTCGCAAACGGTTCAGCTCCTGCAAAGACACAGAACCCCTTTTACAGCCACTCCAATCCTCGACATCAAACGTGGGTTTCTTGTATTCTGTTTTTAAAGGTGATGTTACTCACAGTGCGGTTCCTGGAAAGTGCCCAGCTGCTCAGGGATGATAGAAAATCAGGGCTGAAGATGACAGTGGTCTTCCCTTGATCTTTTCCTATAAACCTCCACTTCTTCCTTTTGTGCATTCAGCTATTGTACCTGCCTGCTTTGTCTGTGTCCCAGCAGGGCTCCAGCTTAGGCTTCACTGACTGACTGCTGCCTTTGACCACAGTGTCCAGTAAAATGTAGATACATTGATTTTTCTTCCCTATAAACTGAACAGTGCTTATGTGCACTTAGGCAGGGTATTCATTCTTCAGGTCTCTGGAGGCTGCAATACCAAACTGCTTCAGCACTAAGCTTGCAAGAGGAGTAATTACCTCCAGCTACAGTCTGGTTATGGATCATTATGGTGTGGCCAAATGTGCCTGGAACTTTGTCATTCTCTGCTTCAGTTGTAGATAAAATGGAGGAGACATTTTCAAGACTCAGAATGACATCTGTGTTCCTATTCCTCTCTGATCCCTGTTCATTTCTGCCTGGACAACAGCCTAGAAGTTCACCATGGAAGCAGCAGAGGTCATGAGAGGCACTTGTAGACACGACACATCTGTGCCACAAAATGTAGTGCCAGACCATTGAAATGAGACCCCCTTGTCTCACCCAACCAGCCTGTAAGTTCTGCAGAGCACTGCAAGCCTGAACAGAGCACACTATGGTTCCTCTGTCAAATGCACCCACCATCACTATGGATCAAACTTGGCCAGCCTGGAATGTTACTCACTTTATAGAAGGTCTGTGTTTTTTCAGGGAGTTTCCTTGCATTTCTCAAGATCTTCTGTACATCTGTCTGCAGAAAAGAGAAAAAAAAAATCCAAAAATCTTGCTAGCTTCTGGGGGAAGCTGCAGAAGAACCCCCAATTCTTTATGGATAAATTATCCTGACCATTGACAAAACTGCAGCTCACAAAGGCTGAAACATAACTGGTAATTATACTAAATCAAATAAACCAAGCCAGATGCTCCACTGGAGACACAACTCTCATTAAACAAGCTATGCTTTCTGATTGCATTTTAATCATGACATTGTAAAGAGGCAGTGTTTATAAAAATGAAAGAAAAGCAATAAAGCAATTACTCTAAATGGGCAAGACATGCACAGACTGCAGTTCCTGCTGAGATGGCTCCTGCTGCTCCAGGTAAAGCAGCACACCCTGGCTCATTACCTGGAGGCCACTGGGTTTGATCCACACAGTGACATTCTGAGCGTAGCTGCGCTTGTTCTTCGGCTGCAGAGGGAAAGGGCTCTTGTTGTCATCCTCTCCATAAGGATTTTCTTTTGCATCTGGGAGAAAAAATAAATGATAGACTTAGCAACCAAGAATTGCCAAGATCATTCACACAGCACTGCACAGTTAAGAGTTACTCAGAGGAGTGTGACCAGTACCTGAAATGGGGCCAAGCTGTGCCATCTTCCCCAGCCATGGGAGGGGCTCAGGACCAGGTTCAAAGAGTGACATCATGAGGTTTGATTTCTTCTTGCTATCAGCTTGTGAATAAAGCATTCCATACCACTCTGGCCTGTGAAAAAGAGCAAACTCTCAAAGGCTGAAAATCTTCCACCCCTCTGCATAGAATGTGCCTCCCTCTCACTGTGTGGAGGCTCAATGTTTGCAATTTGTACTGACAGAAACAAATCTGCAATAAAAATCCACAGCTTAGTCTAGCAGTGCAGAGTTCTGCACAGAATACAGATATAAATAAGCATAATTTATAAATAAAGCCTAAATGAGCAAAGTAAGAGATTTTTCAGGCAGACATCCAGCTCCATACCCCAACTGGACGAGAGCCACCATGCCTTCCACTTTCAGGCTGCCATGTAATAAAACACAGAAGTTGGGGATTTTCCCAGCAATCTGATTAGCTGAATTCTCATCTTCAGTGTCATCTGTGATCCCAGGTCCCACCTCATCCCCCTCTGGGGAAGAATCAAAGCAAACAAAGAGAAAACATGAGAATAAATTCAAACACAAGAGATCTTTCCATGACACCACCCTTTACTGTCTGCCTGCAAGAGTTACTTAATACTTTTGTAGAACAAACAGCTGCAGAATGAACTGCTTGGGCAAAGTGGCACAATAATGATACATAAATGTTCCACTGCATTGTACTCAAGGGCATTAAATATTCATCTTGCACCACATATTTCATGGCTCATTTTTATTCTGAACTGTATGTTTAGCATGTAATGATGTTGTAAGGACCCTGGCCCCTCTATGAACTTCATAAAGAACACAGGATGCAAAATAAGAGAGCTTGTGGTCAAGGTTTTAATTTTAATGCAATCACACAAATATGACATCTGGTATTTTGATAAAGCAAAAAAACCTGTGCTTCCAGTCCAAACCTCATTACAAGGGAAGCTTAAAGTAGTTTTTGCCAAAAAACCCAACTTGCTCACCTCTGTTAAGTGCAATGGGCAGTACCAAGTGTCTGGACAAGACAGGAGGGCTGGAAATGTCTGCAATATCTACAAACCCAACAATTTCTAGATCTGCAGGGAGATAACAGATTTAAATCACATTTAAGACAGTTTAAGTCATATTTGGAAATAACTGAAATGTATTCAGAGGCTATTGAACATCACCACCACCAGGTTTTCTGAAGCAATGACTAAAGGTAGCACAAGAGAACCCATACTGAATTGGAGTGCAAAGGTGTTAATAAGTTAGAAATACATAAAACACACAACTTTTGAAGATGACTTTCAGCATGCATGGACTGGTGTTCATGAGCTGTGCTACTGGACAGTTACAGAACTGAGCACCTTGATATTTACACTGCACACAGTCCACTGCTGTCTTACAAATTCCAAAAGAGAAAAAGCAAATACCTGCTGCTCATGGGAGCTGTGTCCACTAACAGGAGGGTTGGGAAAGTTTTTCTTTGCACAGTTTTTTTAAAAATAATTTGTCTTCCCCGAAGCTTATGAAGGTGTTCATGGAAAGCAGCCTGTGGCTGTTTCCCACACTCTACCCCTAGAAATTGTCACCCTGGGTTCTGAAAGTGCCTCTACCCTACTGCAGCCCTTTAGCCAAGTACACATGGATGAAGAAGGATGATATTTTTGTTCCCTGGTGTCACACATACATCGAAAAATTACACAATTGGAGACTGATCCTTGCAGAGACAAAGTGGATGAGGCAATAACTCCACAGGATGAGAGGTGGTAGTGAAAGGGCAGAAATCAAATGGATTTTAGTAAAAAAGCAATCAAAGATTTGTTACCTGTATTAATTGCTTTAGGAATGGGGTCTATTTCCTCATCTATAATGAAAGGCTCTGGTCTGGGAAATACTTGCACATCAGATGTTAAGTGGCCACACTTGAGGACAGCATGGAATGGTGTATAAGCCAGGTCTATTAGCTTTCTAGAACACAGTTATTAAGGAAAACATAATACATATTAAATGAAAATAGTTTGTCTAAGGCACGCTAATTTAGCTCCCAAACCTTTTTTAACTACAGTTAATTCAATAGTTCTAATGTTGCTAAATTATGAAACAAAGCAGCATTATCCCACTCATGGAAAACGAACAATAATTATGGAAATTACTGTCTTCTATCTGCCAAGCATAAACAGATGCCACGGTTTGGTTACAATGACTAAATAAATATTGACCACAACTAGTGAAGGCCAAGATGAAATTACAGTTAACAAGATCAAAAAATAAAGAGTTTAATTAGAACATCTCATATCACCAGATTTCTTATTGTTTGTGTTTTTCTTTTGAGATACCAACTGGGGACCTTCCCAAAAGTCTGTTATCTACAAGTGCACTCACCCAAACATGGACTGCACATTCTTCAGGCACAGGGGGCCATCAATGGTGAAAATCTGCCCTTCCCCATTATTTAAATCAATGAGCCGTTCCAGGCAGTCTAAGGAATCTGTGCTTTGAAGCTGCAGAAAAAGAAAGGGAAATATTTTTGTTGAGTGTTCTTTTTATTCTATTTTGTACTAACCAGTATTTTTAAAGAAAATACACACAACACAGCAAAAAGCATCTGATTGGATGCTCCCATGATTTTTTGTTTTCTCTCGTTTCCAAATAAACCAACATTCCTTGTCTCCCAGGCAATGTTCTCTTATTACTTATCAGAAACAGATTATTTATTTTAAATACTTATTTTAAATATTTTCCCAGTTATTTTGAGATGTTAACAGTGCTTCAATCCACCAGCTTAATCAAAAGAGTCATCCTTGACAGAGACCATGAAGCTGAGATATCTAATAGATGCCTAAGCACAAAACCCTTCTGTGAAGGACGCAAGAATACAGGTGTCACATCAAAAGCAATGCTATTAATAAAACTTAATCTAATGAATATTAGTCAAATAGGCTTCTTTTTAAACAAATGTTTATGCAGCAGAATTCTAACTCCTGTGAAGATTTTTAAAGCTGGGATTGAAATTTGCAAGAGAAAGAGAAAGGAGGAAGAAAATTGACACCTTTCCTTCAAAACTAAGGGAAGGTGTTTTGAACATTGGCTTGGAGACTTCAGTTTTCCCCTCTCACATTTCTACATACAGCTACTGTGTCTTAAGTGTTAAACATCTTTGCAACACGAGTAATTTATTCAAGAACTTAACTGTAGATTAAGAAGAGCCCCAAAAGCATTCAATGTGATTAATGCAGTAGTAATATAAACAGAGACATTAAAATCCCATAATATTCCCCAGGGACAAACTGACATGATTTATAAAGACTACGGTAATAATGCAGTAGCAGTAGATAATAACAGTGCAATAATAAACCTTTAATTCTCTTTCATCCATAACTAAGCACCAGAATGTCAACTAAACCTTAAGCACGAGAACATCAACACAACTGGTCGTTAGCTCAGACAAGACCAACAATTACCAATGCAACAAAGAATAAGCCATCACCTCTTCCAGGTTGGCCATGCACATGACGTAGAGCTTGGACGGGAACGGGAAGGGCAGTGGGAACCTGTTGCTGTCGCTGCGCTGGCTGTGGGTGGCCAGGGAGTGGCGCAGGGAGCCCCGGCCGATGCCCAGGCAGCCGTCGGTGACCAGGACAACCTGCGGGGACCGGGGACAGTGAGACACTCCGAGCTGCACCGCGCACCCTGCAGGAGCCTTCCTGCAGCACCTGCTCCCACACAAACTCCCTATCCCAGCGGGTTTCCTCCACCCAGCTGGGCAAAATTTCCAGAAGGCACCCCACATCAAGGAGAAGTTGAAGACTGAACCCTCGTGGTTTACACAGTGTGCATGGTAAATAAGTGTTTTCTTGGCATTAGGTAATTGCACCAAAATTTGAATCTCATACATTTCATGTTTAAGTGTACACTAGAAGCACAGTGACTACACAGCCAAAAATCAGCCTCTTCTGTTGGACTCAAGGATTCCAGGTTTATTGTCAGATGGATGATAAAGCATCTTTTCTGGATTTCTTCTGCAAAATCTGGAGAGCAACTCAACTTCCACTACAAGCCACAGAAACCTCAAAAAAGGTGATGTTTCTGTGGCTTGTAGTGGAAGTTGAGTGATCTTAATTCTTTGCAAATACAGCTGCATTATGCTCACATTTTGCAGCAGAACTACTATATCAAAACCACACTTTTTCGTTCAATTGCACATCCAGAGTCAATCCCTGTGGAAATCTGCACTAATTACACTGAATAATGGGATTATTTACACTCAGCTGTGACCCAGCTTCCAGAGGAGTAAAAGAGCTGCTCCTTCAATGCTGCATGGCAACAGCAGGCATGATTTCTGGCTGCCAGGTAAGGAAAATCAAACCCAGCTGAAACTCCACGTGTAATTGCTACATTTGTCTGTGTCCCAGCAGGGCTCCAGCTTAGGAGCCCTGATTTGTAGGTAGATTTGTATTCTCCCAGCATCCTCAGTCTCTCTCTCAGTGTCTCCTCAGAACTGGAGCTCACCAGTGATGTTTTCCACTACTCCAAGGCTGCACACTTCATTCCTCAGTGCCCCCCACCACCCCAGCACCTGAAGTGCCAGTAAAATCAGCTATGGCACAAATGAGACACAAAATAGTCGAGGTCTAAGCTCTGCCTGGTTTTCACATCTTTCTTGTTGTTGCTTTCTTGTTTTTTGCTGTCCCAAGGTGCCTTTTGTCCATGTTGGATGATGAAGCAGTGCCTAACCAATAAACCTCTATCTTTTTTCTCCTTTAGGAATATTGCTTCAGGCATCTCCCCACCTCACTGAGCTGCAAAATTACTGAACTTAAATCAAGTGTCTGAGAAAACCAAGGGTTTTATGGCAAACTCTGCCATAAAAGGCAGCAGATTTGGAAGGCTGAAAGCTTGCAGGGCTGAATGGGGGCTGTGAGCAGCTGCATGGCAAATGACTCATTTGGGAGAGAAGTCAGATCAAAACACACTCAGCAGCAGCAGCCCCACGCTGTTGCTTGAGAGCTGGGATTGTTAAAGCCCTGGAAACCATCAAGGACTGGAGGGGAGAGGCTCCTGATGTGGGACTACACCCTTTCCAAATGCACTGAGGCTCCTGGGACAGCAGACTGCATCCAGATCAAACACAGGCCTGCACAGAGTGCCCCTGAGCCACGTTTCACAATCCACTGCACTACAAGAACACACTGGGCACAAAACAGCCTCATTTTTTTTTTTTTGTTGCTGAATATTTTTATAAAGCTCACCTTCTGTTCATACTGCAGGTTTAGCCAAAATACTAATTCTTTGTGTTTTTGCACAAAGCATGCCTGAGAGCATTCCAAACTTTCAAATTACATTCACATTTCTATGTGCAACTCACAGGAACAGAATCAATCACAGAATCACAGGATGGCTCAGGTTGGAAGGGGTCTTAAACATCACCAAGTTCCAATCTCCCTGCCAGGGATAACTGAACATGCAGTGAACTAAACTTAAACCAGAGCAATCAGCCTTACCTGGCAAGGAATTGCTGCCCCCCACTCCTGCTGGACAATATTGCAAACCCCCAGCAGCGCCGACTCCAAACAGGTTTTGTCATAATCATCCATGTTACTGAGGGCTTCCTGCAAAGACAAACACCACAGTCACTGCTGGGGGAGCATCCCTGCCAAGCACGCCAGCAGGCACTCCTGCCTTTCAAGGAACTGCAATATTATCAACTGTATTAATGTTATCTTTATATTAATTTATTTGTAGTATTTAAATGTATTAATATTATTAACTGTAATATTATCAGCACAGCTCTTTAACAGCGAAAAAACACCTTTGTATGTCTTAAAAAAGTGAAAACCTGAGGCAACATCTAACGGGAAACATTTAGCTGAGAAAATCCTCACAGGTGTCAGAGCAGAGACCACAAGGAGTTTATTTCACAAAAACTCTTTGGCAGAGAGAGAGTGACAAACCCAAAACTCACATCTGCATCCATAAAGCAGCTTTCCTCCTAGAAATGAAAACCTCACACTTAACACAGCATCACCAGGGTGCATCTGTGAGATGAACTTGCTAAAGGAGCCTGGTTGGGCTCCTGGCTTGCAAAATTCCTCAAATGAACTCTTAGGGAAGTGAAAATTAATCAGAGAGGATGCACTGGCACCCTCCTGCTAAACTGCAAACACAACAGAGAACAGCTTTAAAAATCTCTTTGCCCAATGGACAAACTCAAACCATGGTGCCCTGTGAGAGCAATGTGTCCTTTCCCCCTGCATGTGAGGGTCAGCTATAAATGTACAAATTTTACTGGATTCACAGGCTCCAGTGCCTTATTGCATTCATGTGAAACTTCCCTCTTGGACTTTCTCCTCCCAAATTCCCACCACATCTCTGAGGCCCAAAATCACTCATTCTCACTCTTGCACTGTTTTGACCTCTACACACTCTCAACAGCACCTTCTCTCTACCAAAGCCTTTCTAAATGGTCCTGTCAGCTGCATTGCTTACCAAGAGCGAACCAACACACATTAAAACAGGGACATTACAGACCCATTTGGGGAGCTTCATCAGGCAGCCCTTCCCTCCATCCCATTTTTAACTCCATTCCATTTCAGAACCAATGAGCCACACCCCAGTGCTCACCTGCAAAGTGCAACTGGCAAAGTTCACCTTTCAAGCACACTGATTTCACCTGCCCTTAAAATGAGGACAAACTCACTCAATTCACAACGTTGTGCACAGCATGATACCAAATCACACAACTTCACCCTGTTTCGGTGGCACAATTGTCTGATTTTTTAAAAATGTGAACGGTTTACTGCTTTAGTGTTCACACGCCCTACCTGGAGTGTGTTGTAGTCTCTTGTGAAGGGCACCATGAGCTCCCAGAGGGATGAGAACACCACCAAGGCCGTGAACTCCAGCTTGTAGTTGGTGGCCATGTGCTCGAAGAGCATGGTGAGCCCGTGGGCAGCCAGGTGCTTGCGCTGGTACTCCTCGGAGCCCTCCACCGACACGGGCCGCGTCATGGACAGCGACACGTCCACCACCACCACCGTGGGCATGGCGAGCCGCTCCTGGGCCGCCCTCACGGACGGGCTCGGCCGGGATCAGCTGCCTGCAGGGGAGGAAGGCACAAATCACCACCAAAGCTGCTCCTGGGGAGCCGCGCGTCTCTCCCCCTCACGCTGAGCCCGGGGAGGAGCGACAATTACCCTCGTCCCCCTCAGAACGAGGGGCTGAGCACGGATGAGGTGAATGCACGCTGAACCCCGCACGGCATTTCCAGCCGGGCGCAGCGCGAGGCCTGGAGACGGCAGGAGCTGAGCCTCGCTGGGGAAAGGGCGCAGCGCTGCCGCTCTGAAGGCGGTCGGGCAGGGATCCAGCCCTCCCTGCGAGCCTTCGCCCTCAGCGGGGCTGTCCCGGAGCGCTCCGGGCCGAGCGGCGGCGGCGGGCACGGAGCGGGGCGGCGGAAGGGAAACGCTGCTGCACACCCCGGCCCGCCGCGCCACCATGCGTCCGGCACGGAAAGCGTCCGGCCGGAAGGCGCGGCCCGGACGGGAAGGACCGCGCCTCACGCAGCCCGCTCGTGAGAGCTGACTCCGCGCGGGAAGCGGGAATGTGGGATGGCCGTGCTGGGGGAATGTGGTGCCCACGTAAAATAGCGCCACAAATGACCGCTATGTGTGGAGAAGGGTTTATGGATAAGCATCCCGGCTGGGCAGTGCGCCTCCTCCCGCTTCTGTACCTTTGGGATTGGGGGAGCGGGAGGCAATGAACTCCAGTGCAAAACTGGGGTGTACTCCTGAAATTGTGTGTTCAGACAACAGTTTGCTTTAAAATTATCCTAAACAGGATAGTTTAGCCGAAAAAGCCCTCTAAGATCGTCAAGTCCCACTATTGTCCCAGTGCTGCCAAGGCCACCATAGGCCATGTCCCCATGTGCCACATCCATCCAGCTTTAAATCCCTCCAGGGATGGGGACTCCAGCACTGCCCTGGGCAGCCTGCTCCAATGCTGAACAAGCCTTTCAGCAAAGAAATTTTCCTTAATATCCAACCAAAATCTCCCCTGCTGCAACTTGAGGCCGTTCCCTCTGCTCCTGTTCCTGTTCCCTGGAGCAGAGCCTGACCCCCTGGCTGTCCCCTCCTGTCAGGAGTTGTGCAGAGCCACAAGGTTCCTCCTGAGCCTCCTTTGCTCCAGGCTGAGCTCTCTCAGCTCCCTCAACCACTCCAGATCCTTCCCCAGCTCCATTCCCTTCCCTGGACATCCTCCAGCACCTCGATGTCCTTCTCGCCATGAGAGACCCAAAATCAAATCACACATTTCTAATTCCCCTGCAATAAATCCGACTATTAGACTGCTGTGGCTGTTAAATCCTTGGCCAGGGATGTTGTTATTTCTTCCCCTGTGGAGCTGCACCATATCAGTGCCACAGAAGAGTCCCAGGTCCCTGCTCTCTCCCTCTGCCTCAGCGCTCCTGGCACAGGCCCTGAGGGATTTTCCAGGAGTCAAGGAGTTTTAAACCTTGCTCTGGCATTGCAAAGTGGTCACATACTGTGGCAAAGACCAGCAGAGCTGCTTGTCTGGCATCTGGCCAGTCAGCCACAGAAGATGCCTCAAAGTGTTCCATGTTTAAAAGTGTTTATAAATGTGATTTAGCCGCTGCCAGGGCCGTGAGGGTGATCCATGTCCATGGCTGGTGCTTCAGTGCAGGAGTTTGTGAAGGGGATAATCACATGTCCTTACACTGAGAATAACCTGTGGTAGCAGACAAAGGTGCAGAGATAGACCCAAATCTATACAATACTATTTAATCTTCTTAGGGGCTGTGGGTATTAAACTGGATTGGGAATTCCTCCACTAACATGTCCTTCACACCTGACCCCCTCTTCTTTTGGGACTGTGCCAGCAGAGGAGACATCCTGAAAATGGGATCATTTTCACCTGCCTCTCTCTGCAACAGCATCTCCCATCTGGCTGTTAAGTACCAAAGAAGCTTCCAGCACTACACCCAGCCCCTGGAACTCCCCTTCCTCCTGGACAGACCTTTGGAAGGTAGGCTGGGGAGCTTTGTGTGATTGCTTGGATTTTGTGTTACTGAGACAGGAGGTTAGAAAAGGAGTTTATCAGGAATTGACCTAAACTTAGAAGACTAGAGAAACAATTCTGAATTCTTCTGGTCAGGAGTTGTGAAAGGCTGCAGAACTCTTAGACTGATCCTAGCTTTGGATTTCTTTCTGCTTGCAAAACATCTTTTAAGCAGCTTGTTTTGGAGATTTTTAAATAGGAGTGTGTGCGTAACTGTGTTCTCTCTCTGCCTTTTAACTCTCCTGTCTTTGTTAGGGAAAGTTATTTTCTCTTAACATGCAATTTGTTAAACCTCTTGTGCTATTCTGCCACATGTATGTTTATTTTCTTTTTATGTATGAAAAGCAAAGCTTGTATTATCTATTTATTTAGGTATTCCCATAACCCTCTCTTACAGTTGCCTTAGTGATTCTCCCAGTTATTTAAATTAACATTGCCTCTTTTGCAAGGAATTTAGGCTGTTACCTTCCTTGGGTGTTATGCAAGAGGGTGACTGTGTGATAACTTGCATGAAGAGCTTATCTGAGAATGGTTTAGAAAACTATGATTCACAGCTAAAGAATAATGTAACATGCCCACTCTGGGGAAAAAAATAATCCATGAAGAGTGTCATTCTAAGGTAAAACATTCAAGCAATGCTGAAGAGTGAATTCTGTCCAGCCCCAAATCCCTGTTCCTGTGCTGTCACAGCTGCAAGCACTGTCACTCTGACATTTACAATTTCTCCCCCTTTCTAAATGCTGTTCACATAATTATGCAAGATATGCTAATTACCCCCTAATAAAAGGTATGATTACAATTCCACTTTGCCAGTTCTGATTTCAGAAAGCCCTGAAAAGATGTAGTCATAGAAACAAATGGCTGCTCAGCACCCCCAGTTTTACTAGAACCACGTTCTCCTCACCCCCTGCTCAAACTGAAGGAAAGACCTCACCCTTGGATGGTTTCCTGGAGAGTGAAAGGCTGGAAAGCCATGGAGCAGCATCACATCTAAACCAGTTTCCATTCTCCTGAGGTTATTTTGGTGAATAACTGGTTTAGCAGGGATACTTGAACAGCTTGGTCTTGTCTTCAGAGCATCATTTTTAGCAATTTAAATTTGGTTCCTTGACAGAAGCTGTATCCATTCCTCCTGCACAACACTGACCCAATTGATAATATTACAGAATAACAACAGGACTCTGCTCAATGCAGTCCTTAACAGCTCCTGGATATGGGCATTTGGTGGAACCAGAATTCAGCTTGGATTGGACTGCCTCAGCCAACTCCACTCTCTTAAGCCAAACCTTTCATTATTAATCAGCATAGCCTACAGTCATATTAATAAATAGACTGAAATCTGGATCTAGATCTCTCTTTACTCATTTAAATCCATTTCTTTTTATAGAAAAATAGACAAGCAGTCAGTGAAGGGCTGCTGCCCAAATGCTGGAAAGTTGCAGTACTTTGTTTTTCACACTAGATTTTCTTTTGCAGGATTCCCCATTCTGTGCTGTGCAGTTCCAATCCTGATGCTCCAGATCAGCAAACTGCTGACCAAGTGAAGTCTTCAGTGGCCTCTGGACACAGCTCTGAATTTGGAACCTTTAGGAAATGCATTTACCGCGCAGGAGGCGGCTACGGAGGAACCGAATCCTTTTCTTGCTTGCCACAGTGTTGGTCCTCTCCTTCTACCAACTCCAGTCCAGCCCCTCTGCCCTTCCAGCATCACACAGAGCCCCCCAACCCACGGACCCTGCCAAAGTGACCTCCAGGGACCTCCCCAGCAACAAGACTGCTGTAAGAGGCAATGGCACAGCACCCAAAATAAGGCACTGCATCTATGTGGATCCTGAGCCAGCTGTGCACGTCACCACGTCAGTGGGCACAACACCACAACAAGAAAATGCCAGTGAAAGCTCCCCAGATGAAAAACCACCCTATGAGTCCAAAGGAGAATATCCCCAGGACCTGTTCAGTGTGGAAGAACGCAGGCAAGGGTGGGTTGTGCTTCACATCTTTGGCATGATGTATGTATTTGTGGCCTTGGCCATAGTGTGTGATGAGTATTTTGTCCCTGCTTTGGGAGTGATCACTGAGAAGTTGGAGATCTCTGAAGATGTGGCTGGAGCCACCTTCATGGCAGCAGGTGGATCAGCACCAGAACTCTTCACGTCCCTCATAGGTGTCTTCATCTCACACAGCAATGTCGGCATCGGTACCATTGTGGGCTCAGCAGTGTTTAATATCCTCTTTGTCATTGGCACCTGTGCCCTCTTCTCGAGGCAGATACTCCACCTGACATGGTGGCCCTTATTTAGAGACATCACATTCTACATTGTAGACTTACTGATGCTCATCCTGTTTTTCCTAGACAGTGTCATTGATTGGTGGGAAAGCCTCCTTTTACTGACTGCCTATGCCACATACGTGTTCACCATGAAACATAACGTGTTCCTGGAGCAATGGGTGAAGCAGGAGCTGAAAAAGAAGCTAAATGCTGTGCAGGCAGCATCAGCAGAGCATATGCGGAAGGTTGGTGTCCTTAGAGTTCAGAGGGCAAGTTGGAAATAACTTTTAGTGTAAACCACAAAGAAAAACTGCATCTCCTTCACAAAGCACATATTCAAACCTCAGAATGCAGGTACTGGTCAATAATTATGGTTTTAAAATGGGGGAAATCCAAACTAGTGAGATCTAAGAAAGTGGAGACCATCACTAACAGGGAGTTCTGCCTGTGCAATTACTAAATATCCTAGCTGCTTTCAAAAATGTGTGGGATTTTGCTTACTTTGTTGTTCAAAAGAAGTTTCAGAAAGAGCTCTTGCACAAACACATTTTTGGTTGGGGAATAAGGTTGGACAATTCTGGTACACAGGGTAAAAAAGGCTTCTGTCCCAGCCCCTTGCAACTGAGAGATGTTGGAGGAAATTCTCTTTTCTCTCTCTGCAGCCAGTTGCTGGGATGCTGGTGGTATCACTCCTTACCTGATCAGCAGCACAGAAAGGCATCCGGCAGCTTTAGCAACCACTGCCTGCTCTCCTGGGCAGCATTCACAGATTGAAGTGCCCAAACCAAATTCCATGGCAGCAGATTTCAAAATGTCCCCTGGCACTGCATGCTCTGCTAGTCAGATGTGTCCCTGGCCCTCAAGCATGCTTTACCTTCAGATCCTGGCACTCCACATCATTTAAGGAAAGGAAGGAAGCAGATAAGGAAAGTCAGGGTAGCTGAAGTGGTGCAGAATCGAGAAACTCCTTCTCTTTCCTACTCCTGGTTTGTTGTTCAGCCAGTGCTCACAGCTGGGAGTCCTGAAAGCTCCTGGGTTACATTCCAGTGGGATACATGTGCAAGAAACTCAGTGACACACACACATCACTGTGGACATCACCAAACA